CCGAAATTTTAACAATCTTTATCTGTCATTAATCTTTATTGTATTACTGAATTTGAATATTAATTTTATAGGTAGAATCGCATTATGGCCCAGTTGGTCTAAACAATCCTAGTGCATTGCTTGCCAATAAGAGTTATCCATGGGATCAGGGAAGATTTCAAGCAATTCGAATTGGTCCACCATCACTTCCAACTTTCCCGATCCAACCTTTGCCACCTAATCCAGCATTAAACACGAGTATTCTTACGGTATACATTTATTTTCTTTTACTTTCATGTTGTTCTATATAGAAAGCTATCATGATGTTGCTTATTAGTTTTAATAATTGCAAAATATTATCTTATGATTGATATAACATGTTGCTATTATTTGCAAGTTATAGCTGTTAATTTTTTTCATCAAATGATTTATGATTTTAAGTTAAAATTTAAAATTTTCAACATTAATACTACTTTTTAGGAGTTGGGACCACATTGGCGATCACAGTCAAAATCGCAACATCCAAAAACTATGATCTTTACGACAGCAGCAACAAAAAATCAGATATTAACACAAAATCTATCAAAAATAATCAGAAAAACGACTCGAATTCCATGGAGTAGTAGACGGAGACCAAAACCATCTAAAATTTTAAAAATTAGTTCCAAAGGTAAACCTATCAAATAGTAAATCTTTTATGCTAAAAAAACGAAAATCAATACAATTTCAGAATCTGAAATCGCTGCTACAATAGCATCTATCTCTTTTACAGATTTTGATGGTATGAGAACTGATAAAATCTCGGCTGATATAACTAAAAGAAATAATAGTATTATTGCTACTCCTGCAATTTCTGAAAAAGTGAACACCACTTTACCGAGTCAAACAATTGCTTCAACTTTCACAGTTCCGAATTCCAATACGAATAGCAATACTACAGTATGTATTGTTAGTACTTTTGAACGATCGATACGTTAATCGGAGGAATGTTACAGAAATGATATCAATTAGTTCCGTAAATGAAACCATAGCCGGATGCAAATAAACTATAAATAACTGGCATGATGGACAAGAGCAAAATTAAAGCGGACGAATAAATAATGAAAATAAATTTTAGTTTCTAAGTATGAATATGAAAAATTGTAAAGATAGCAAAAAGTTGAAAATAATATTAGCTGAAAATTACTGAGTGAAATTTACGGCATTTTCTTTTATGTGATGAAAAAAAAAATTCTAATTTTCTTTTGCATCATTCAAACTTTTAAAGGTCGCAATCATGTTTCAGAGTTTTCATTTCAGTTAATCGTTGATGAGGATCAAATGACGGAAGGAATATCGGAGCGAAAAACGAATGAATCCAGAAAACTAATAGTTAAGGACGGATATTTTAAAGGTGTATATCGTGAAATGCACAGAAATGAAATTTTAAGATGTTTGATTAAATTTAAATACTGCTTAAAGTTTTATATTATATGGTGAATTATCAAATAAAAGTTAAAAAAATCTTCAAAATTGAAAATTATAATCAATTTTTTTAATGTTAAACATATTTTTTGATTTTTATGTTTTCCGTCACTTTTCTTATTTTTCAAATTTTTTTCAATGTTAATTTTTATTTTAAATCTTTTGCTAATACATTCTGCTACAAATGTTTTTATTTGAATGCATAATTTTTTATTTAATCTTGATTGTATTCCATTATTGTTTAGTTTTGTAAACGTTTTGAATTTTTATAAGCTTTGTTAATATTTGTAACAGAAGATGGGAAATAAGTAAAATATTGAAGTAATTTTTTGCAGCACCAAACAATGAGACAATTTATCAAGTTGGAACGGAAGCGCTTATAATCAATGATGAAGCAGAAGTGGGAAATAATTTTTGTTGGGAGACGATGATTGGACAGGTAATATTTTCTGACATCATTTCTTCTATGAAAGAGAAGAAGAAGAAGAACGATATAAATATTCTTTTGATGGAGAAGTAATTATTTTTGCCATTCAGGAGATTGCAAAATTGGTCACTATGGATCTTGTAATAACTATTGCATCAATATTCATTATTGATTTCTTTCGTGATTTATGGATTAAATATTGCAATTCTTGGTGGTGTTGGAATATGGAAACAATCTTCGTTTGTTTATATTTCCTTTTACTCACCAATTTATTATTACATTATTGCTATATTAAACAATAGGTTTTAAGGGTGAAAAAAAATTAAGCTACATTTTGTTTAAGCTACAAATATAGATTTTAAATATCTTGTAATTAAACTAATCATCATGTTTATTTTACAATTACAAATATATTGATTGAAAATTTTTAATCAGCTCACTAATTAATTTTTTAATTATTTCTATTTGCATTATGAAGCATATTAATTATCGATTTTGCTCTCATTATTATAATAAAATCATATGAATGAGTGATGGGAGGCGATTAAAAATAAGCAATTTTTGATTTTTTTTTTCAAGAAAATTACAGACAAAAACTTTTGGACACGCAACACACACACAGATAATTAATATAATATTTCAGCCAGAATATGGAGAATTTAAGGTAGCAGAAAATGTACTTCATATTATTAATAATCAAGGAATGGTATGGCTTGGATTATTTTTTGCTCCGTTATTACCTGCATTAAATAATCTTAAATTAATCATTTTAATGTATATTCGAGGTTGGGCATGTATGACGTGTAACGTACCTGCACGTGAAATATTCCGCGCTTCAAGGTTATTTTTACACTTTTATGCAACTTTTTTTCTGTCTTTTTATAGTTTGTTAAGTAAACTGTTATGATTGGTGTGACAAATAAGTATTACCTCTATCATTGCCAGGATTTCTCCGGGATATAATGGAGAATTATATAGTATTCACTATAAAAATCAATACTATAATAGATACCATTATTTATTAAATATCTTTATGGATAGCATAACGCTGCAACAACCCAAAAGCAAAGTAATATTATTTAATTCGATGAAATATTTATCATTTGTTACAAATTTCAAAAATTATCTGGTAGAAAGCATAAAGTTTATCCCAATTTCTGAAAACGTAATCATTTTTCTGTGACTTATTTAATCTTTCAAAAAAAAAAAGGATGAAATTACGTGAAATAAATTTCTTTCGCATTCATTTACAATACATTGTATGTCATTGATTTGTTTGGTATCAAAAAAAAATTAGCAGTTTACTCATTTATAAAAAAGTTTTTTTAAAAAATTTTTTGTTAAGGTCAAGTAATTTCTATTTAATGGTATTACTCTTATGGTTATTGCTTTGTACACTACCAGTTGGTTATGTGATCGCCTCCAAGAAACCCTCTTCTTCATGTGGACCTTTTGCGTCTGTTTATTGTTTTTGTTTTAATTTCTATAAATTTTCATACTTTGTATTAAAAGATAAATTGTTAGGATAATAATATAATGTTTCAATAACACTATTAAAAATAGTATTATTTTACTGGAATATGCTTGTTTGCACAACTATTCCAGATCAAAAGTGCATAATTTGTAATCAGACTTTTTTGTTCTCTGTCGAAAAACGTTATGAATCTAATCTTAGTCTTCTTGAAGTAAATTGCTTTTTTACCCTGTTAAATGATACGGTAACAGTGATCGTAAAGTGACACGGTAATTATTGTACACGTACATTCTAAAAAATGTCAATTTCCTCAGCAAACAGTCATAATAAATTCTTAATTTTAGTGGTTATGCTAGATTTTACAATGTGTTAACACAAATGTTGGAAGGTCGATTGGATAGGAAAGTGATAAATTGGCTTAGATATATTGCTTCACCAGGTGTTGTTATACCTGTTCTTCTATTACTTATGTAAGCATTTTTTTTATTTTTGAGAGAAAAAATTTATAAAAAATTTATTGTTAAATTAGTGCAATTTTTATGCTCACAAAATATAATTAGTTATTTGCATGAAGTGAATGTTTCTATCAGCGTCTCTGTTAACATATAAATGTTTAGAAGTTATATTTATCCAGCAGTTGTGTATATTGATATGAAGTAGAAGTTTTGAAATCATTCAAACTCGCGGAAGATTCTGCGATTGATATCTATATGGTGCAATAATGATTAAGATGAAAATTGCTAATGGAATGAGAATAGAAGTGATTTTAGGTTAATCATTTATTTTCTGGTATCGTTAGTTCGAGGATTACGAAAAACGAACAACGATCTTCAGCAACAACTTATACATGTTAGAATTTCCTTTCTGTCGTAATAAAGATTTCTTAATGCGTAGTGAATATTTCTATTTAGAAGTTATGTTTATTCATAGATGTTGCGTAAATGAGAAATTTAAATGGGAAGAAAAATTCCCTTTCGTCGTTCTCATAAAATGGTTCTAACAAAAAAATCTTCAAAGTTTGTTAAAGTCACTTCTCTTGAAAAAATTTTCCGCATCAAGATCATTTTTTTATTTTTATTCCTTTTATTTATTTATCTAGTTTTTTTTTTTCTATTATTTAATGTGCATTATTTGCAATGGTTGAACACTGACCAGAGGAATCATCGTTGATCAATTTAAATAATCAATGCTAAATTTTACTAACCAAAAAAAGAAAAAAAATTTCAAGTCAATTAAGAAATAATTTTCACTAATCGTATGGCTTAAAACAGTATTATTTAATATACACATTAATAATAGAAAAAAACTAGATAGATGAATAAAAGGAATAAAAACAAAAAAATTATCTTTAAGCACGTGTTTAAGCATGTGCTGAAGTACATGAAAACGTACGAATATTCGAAATTATGATTATTGACATTTTAAGAAATGGATGAGTGAAAACAATCTTTTTTCATCTTTCAATTTTAGGAAAGAACGGAAGAAAAGAAGAAAATATTCGAATTAGTTGGTACTGCACAAAAGAAAGGTTTGCGAAACAATCGAGAAAAGAAGAAACAAATGATTACTTATTTGCCATTAGTCGAGCAAAAACGACGTGAGCCATGGGGATTTTACAATGGTGTTGGTTTTTCTTTTCTGATTTAAATTCTTTTTTTATTTCATTTAATTTAAAATGATATAAAATAAATTTATTGATAAGAATAAAATACAGTGAAAAATAAAAAATATTAGTTTTTTCTCCCAAAAAAAATATAAAATATTAATGGTAACATTTGATTTTATTCAAAATATACATTCTGTCTGTCAGTATTATATAAATAATAATTTATAAACACCTAATATGATTAGTACATAATGATAATAATAATAATAATACATAATAACTGTACTTTGATAACAATTCAGTTACTTTCAAGTATATTGAGTGTTTTGTATTACTTATATTAGGTGACATATTTTCAGCAAGATCATAACTCGTCGTTATGCGTTACAGACGAGACAAACAGTATGACAAGTCCAGATTCTGGACAATCACTTTCACCAAAAAATCTGAGAACAGGACAATTATTGCCACAATCCACAATTCAACAAGAATCTGTAAGAGTTCTCGAACCTGTGCAACAACAAATCATGTATTACTTTTTTTGCCTTTTTAAGTAGTGGTAAATTAATGTATATAGAAATTCTGATATTTTTACTACAGTTGGAAAAAAGAACTTCCATTTTTTGCTGTTTCGAAAACTTCCCTAACTTTAGGAGAATGTGCTTAATATAGATGGTATAGTGTAAATGGAACCAAGAAGAATATCAAAATTTTACTAAATGATCAGGTAGCAAATTGAACACGCCGCATAATAAATAAGAAAACTTCGGGATTATATACTTGTCAAAAAAAGAATGGATTGTTTTTATTTTGTTGAACAATGGGATTAGAGCATTTATGTATTGAGTATTGCTAATTCATTCTCAAGACGATTAGTTTTTCCATCCTCATCAAAGCTCAAAAAAAGTTTTTCTATTAAAAAAAAAGGAAGAAGGAATTAATTTTGTCACTTATATGGCCTTAATAGATATCTCTGAAATTTCTCGCTTGTTTATAACTATTTGGATTATTTAAATATCCAATTAGATACTATTTTTGTTAATTTACAAAATATTATATTGATCTTTCTTGAGATATATTGAAGTTGCAATTTCAGAAAAATATGGCTACAAAGAATGCAATTCACCGAATATTTCGTTTTAGCCATAATCATGAAATTTGCAGAAGAGAAAATATGAATGATCAAAATGCAAGCGAAAATGAGATAGAATTGAAAGGATTGCTTCCGCAATCAAGTACAGATCAGGCGAACGAATGGCTCAAACATGATAATGATGATGGTGATGACAAGAGCGAGGTGCAATCCTATAATGTGGAGAGTGATGTGATAGAGGAGGCAACATCAGAGGAAGTACGGTAAGTGTATTTCACTCATTTTAGTAATTTGAATATCTAAAATTTAAAGCGTTATTTTGCAGAACATTTTATAATGGCTTTAGAATAATATTATATTTTTGGATTGCAATTATTAAATCATTAACTTACATGTCTTATTTCATGATTTCATATTAATTTATTTTATGTTCTATTTGAAATGTCGTTCTTTAAACTTTTAATGATTTCACGGAGTGCAAATTTGTTTTATTACAATATTGACAAGTAGAAATTTTTTCGTTTTTACTTCTTTTCAAGCAATTTGATGCGTCGACTAACAAAATCTATGCATGGTTCGGCCGTTTCTCTTGTTGTTTCCACAAAAAGTAGCGTTTCTGGTACGATTAATCCTGTCACTGTACTCTTTCCGACATCATCTGTTAGAGGAGTTAGAAGTGATTACCGATCAGCACTCAGTCAATATCACTTATCAAGTCCGTCACCGTATGATAAATTCACTGATTCCTCATCCTACGGCAATATATACCGGTACCATATATTGCTTTTTTTTTTCACTAATTCAGATTTTATGAGAGGACTGCGGTATCGATAGTTTAAATGAAGTTTACAATGATATTATTGTATCGTTTAAGGATTTTTAAAGTAGTATTTGTTACCACATTAAAAATATCACATATCAATTTTATGAGTAAACACTTGCAATTTTAAAAGGAAATAAAATTTCAAGGCTGAATAAGACATAAAGAAGCGGTAACATTTTATTCTTTTTATTGATATATAGGAAATAATATATGTACACAAATCATCATAAAATGCTTGTTTTTACTAATCGAATAGGTAAATAATTAATCTGGCAAATATGTTTGCTCATCTGAGAATCACTATAATTTCTTTTAACTTTATTGTTAACTTAACTAATATTGCATTAATGCATGTGTTAATATATTAAAATATAAATTAAAATTCGCTTCTCATCAGTCTGTTATTTTGTTTTAACTCATATTAGAAAAACAAAAATTTAATTCTATTTTTGCTTTTAATCTAATATACATGTTAACTCTTATATGAATACTTTTTGTCGTACTAGCTTATATAATAAATTATTGCTTTCTTAAATGACCCTTAGATTATTTCTCTATAATACTTTTGATTAATAGCACTGAATTAAGTAGGCTAATCACTTTACTCTTTTAAAATTAGAATGAATAAATAATTCTCAAATATTGTTAGATATCTCTTTTTCAATCAATGTTATCTTAAAAAGTTCTGTAGGCTGGTCGATAGTTCATTGTTCAACAAGTCATCACTGATACAGCTGTCACAGCATGAACCTAAAACAGAGAAAGCGGCATCATCTTTAACACAATCACACTTGCTACCAATTCATCAATCACAATGCATTAGCGAAATTCACATTCCCACGTCACAGTTACATTTTCCGCCAACGATCTCAAAAGATGAAAGTGCGGCAAATCAGCCTACCTTTAGCGGGGAGCCACAAATATCACTGATCGCTGATACTCAAACCAAAAAGTCCAAAACTTCAAGTCGTTCAAGGTAAAAGATTTTTAAATTGATGAAAAATTAAGTTGGAATAAGCAAGTTATTATAATAGTTCAAATTTTTTCCGAAATTTTGATTTGATTTGAATTAAAATCGAATTCTTGATTGTTCCTTTCTTCAAAACAGCAGTTTTTTTTAAAAAAAAAAAATGGAAAACCTAATCGGTATTACATTAAAGAGAATATTTTAAAGTAATGTGTATCCTTATAAACATACCTATCAAAAACATCATATCAAATTTTATACAATACAACATTATCGTCATATCACATGTGATATATCAGTAATTGTTTTAAAGTAATTTAAAAAATTCCTTAAATAGGACGAGCAGTATAAAGCATGAATTTGTTCCTCGACCATCTGTGAAAGATGCTCAATGTCAAGTTTCCGAATTTTCGCAGCGGCAACAAAAATCAAAGGCCGATTCCGGTAATAATCAGCCATCAAAAAGCATATCATCACATCAATCTTGCAAGAAAACCGAAAATTTTGAAGTTTGCATTTCATATTTTCATATAGAAAATATATGTCATACTATACACGGAAAAGGAGAACTTGAATAACAAATTTTACTGTTTATTTTAGAAGTTAACCATGCTGAAGAAAGGCTTAACATATTCCTAAGTCATTTACTGATTAACAAAACTTGTATGGTTTAAACTATTGATGATAGCCTTACCAAAGGACAGATTAGATTAGAGTGGGCAGTTGGAAATACCGATTGAAGGCTTCTTTAGGAAGTTAATGCGTGGACAGATCAATGCGAAGATATATCATCATTAATGCAAGCTATATCAAACGGTCAGATTATTTCATCATCTGAAAGTAGTTGCTATTATGTGACGTCACTAAGTTTGCTTCTCTGTTCTCGGGATAATTTTCCTGACTCTTCGATTAGTTGTATTTTCGGGCAAGAAAATCTCTTCCCATGAATGTCTTACATATATGAATAAAGTAATTTTAGGAAACTTCCTCAGCATCTAAACAACATCATCAACGTCGCTTCCGCATATCAGTTTCACCATCACGACGTCTTCAAAATCAAAGTGGCCCTTCCGGAAGCGATACTGACACCAGGTATATATAGTCATCGTTTGTCTCTCTTCTTCACGTAGTTGTCTTTTTTTTATGTCCAAATTTGATCGACTTGAATTCCGATGAATTAAAATTAATTTTTAAATTTCAGTACCGGAAAACGTCGTTATGTGATTAGGCAAGAGATATTGCCGGACTCGACAACAAGTGTTAACATGGGTGATGATAGTGGAGCTTCACATCGAAAATCATCAATTCATTCTTACGTTAGAGATCGATAATGGAAAAGACAATCAGTATTAGTCGATCAGCTAACGATCTATTAGCATCTTTCAACCAAACCCAATTTGGTGTAATCTTGTGAAAGTTATTTTTGTGTAACCTGCCGATCGTATGATAGTGTACCATATCATTCATACTTATCGAATATTTCGTCTTTCCTTTCATTTTGGTATCATTCCTTTGGTACCAGGCAATGATTCATCAGCTGAATCCATTGTAATAAAATTATAAGTTTAACTTGTGAATTTTAATCTTTTTGCTTTCAAGTCACTTTCCTAAAATTCGTTCACTATTTATAATCTGATATCTCTTCAACATTTAAACATTTTCCCTCTTTTTTACTACATTAACCCGATACTCGACGCTGCATGACCAATCTTGTTCAGAAGAAAATTTTTTGAGAGTACTTTCAGAAATTGGTAGAATTTGAATACCGGCTTAATATCTAGAATATTGCGGATTAGCAAAAAAAAACCTATTAAATCAGAGGGGCTTTTAGAAAATATTCAGATCACAGGTTACCTATTAAGGAGTTAAGGTAACTAAAAATGAGATGATGGAAAAAGTTTAAATCAATCCTTGTCTTAGTAATTAATCAATGATTGTTCGTTGCTTCATATTTTCCGTGCTTCTAAACAGGACCATATTTGCGTGATTTTTAATAAATTCACTCCATTTCTTTATTACAGCGAAAAATCTGTTTAAAAGATTATGTTCAAAAGTAAAACCACTCGATGATCTATCAATTTAAGAAATACGAAAAATTTAATTTATTTCACTTATATATTAACTGATACTTTTTCATCTACGTCTGAGACACTGAAAGCCATCTTTCTTCATTGTGATTAAATTGGGTATAAAATAGAAAATGACGATTAACACATAACAGATTGAAAATTAAGTTCCTCAATTTTAATTTTTTTGACGATTATATTATCGAATAATTTGAGTTCCGCTCATTGTATAAGGAAATTGCTGAATGCTATTCATTCATGCTTAATAGAATTCAAATGTTCAAAAAAAAGAGAGCTCTCCAAGTATATATTCCAAAGAAAAATTCAACATTTTTCCGGTTTAAACAAAACCTTACACCCGAATTAACAAATTTCAATTTCCTGCATACTAAAATTCAATTCAATAAACAAACTTTAATTATCTTTAAAAACGCATAGAAATTAAAAAACTTCTTGCAAAAATAATATTTAAAAAAAAGAGAAAAAAGTATAGAAAGAAAGAGAATTAAAAATTAAAATTATTCTGAAACACTGAAAAAATTGCATTTGGATTACTGATACATATCGGCTGTATTAAATAATATTATTTAAATATAACGTTCGCTTTATGCTACATCTCTCATTAACATTTTACAGGTATTCCCATTCATTGCAACACAATCCTTCCGACGTTTTACGTATAGCAAATCCTGCCAACGTGAGACGAAATTAACTCACACGTATGACACCTATTTCGTTATTTGTTCTGGATTGAAATGTTGTCGAAATAGGTTTGTTTAATGTTTAATTGTTGTACGTCAGAGAGGAAATGGCTACAAAATGTGAGAAATTTGGAAAAATTACATGTATTTTTTTTTTTAATTTTTCATTTTAATTCCATTTTATTACTTATTGCCAACGATAGACTTTTTTTTTCTTGTTATGCATAATTTGTTAATTTTGATGAGTCGGCTTTTTTTGTTGAGAAGATAATAATTTAAGATAATAATTTAAAATATTCTGTGTCACATTTAATTTAACTCTTAGAAGTTACTGAATTTTTAGTGTGTGATCAAAATCCTGTTGTATAAATTTTTTGTAACCTCTTATGTTTACATAAATTTTTTCCAATTGATCAATTTACTGAAATTTGATTCGAAATAAGATTTTAAGTTTAAAAAAAAAAAAGTAGTTTAAGGCTCCTTAAGTTATTCATGTATTTAAAAGATCACTGAATTGAATGTATTGATTTATGTGGACTGTATGCAATTCCCATATGAACAGTTCGTTTTTCAGGTGAAATGTCTTCAGAAATAAGGAAATGTGTGAAATGCCCAGAAAGGGCTACATTATGTGGTACAGATGTTAAGAAAGCAGCTTACTGTAAGCCATGCTTTATTCAAATGGTAAAACATAAGTTTAGCTCCGCTATTGGTAAGCGACGACTGTATAAAGTTAGCGTTATTTCATTATATTTCAAATATTAGTATTCATGAGGCCGTGTATTGAAATTTGACTAACAAACATATTTGGATCTTTGAGATTTCCATTCAGATGTATGTTTCAAAGAATTGAAGTTTTTGTTGCATTCCCAGCGATCAATTTAGGCGATTAAATTTTGAGATATTTTTGATAGATAAATTATAAATTATTTCGTTAGTGCTCAAACTTTTCCTGAAAATCACTATATGAAGTATACCGCATTCTTACTTTTTATTGATTTATTTCTAGACTTTACATTAAAGATTTTTTTCCGTAAATTTTCATATTATCCTTTTCTTTTTTTTCTTATTTTACATAGCATACTATTTTAGAAGTTTGTCAAAAATTTTCAAAGTTCTTATGCTTTACGTATTTTAGGATGGTCAGCAACGCGAGACTTTAGTAGTTTACAATGGAACTAATGCTGGCGCCTTTTTGCTTTCCCTTGTTAGCGAGGGTTTGCGAGCTGATGCTCATAAACGACTTACACTTGTACCTACTGTAAGTACTTCACGTATTTAATTCTACAAATAGATTGAGTTACCAAATTTTTATCAAAATTTCTGCATATATCAATCAGAACAGGAATTTGTGATTAAGAATAGTGTTCCAGAATTTGGATGACTCTCCTTTTCCCTTTGTCAACAAATGGAATGGTTTGATGATTATCATCATAAGACTTTTCAGGAAATTTATAGATAGTTTGTTCGGCATGTGTTAAAACTAAAAGACTTACGTTGTTAGTACGTAAAAGACTGTTATATACCAATTATCTCAGTAGGAACTTGAAAATTCCGGATTCCTCATGTCTTTAAATTATCTGGATCAGCGTCGTTTTGTTACATCTACTTAGTTGGTTTAGGTAATGGTTCTTCTCAAGGAAAAAGATAAAGCAGCAATTGATAGCATCAGAAAAGAAGTAGAACTTATCAAGGAATGTATCGTAGCTCCATGGATCTATGTTCATATTGCTGCGGTCTTCGAAAGCTGTATTTCTGACCCACGAACATTTTCTGACATTTATGGCATCAATCACGTACTTTTTTTTTTATTTCCGCTTCTTTTTGCAGTATTTAAACTTTGGTTCTGATTACTCTAATAATAAAAAAGAATGAATGAAACCAATTTTTATTAATAGTCAAATCTTAACTTACAGTTATGATACATATATTACATTAGAAGAAAAAACGTCTTTAACACTTACCTATCAAGATAGAAATAGAAGAAATATGACATGCCACCTGATTTCAGTTCGGGATGACTTGGTGTAAAAGATTTTTTTTTTAACAAAAATGTAACCGAATTTGTGAGATGTAATCAGTCATAGAAATTAGCATATTGTATTTTCCACTATCTCATCTTTGTTTATTACTAGCTTTTGCTGTCATTTCTGATGCATTACTATCAAAATATGCTGAGCATTTTTACATTCTATCACAATCACTTTGAGCTTTTGAAATATTTTTGTTACGCCTATCATTTTTCTTCTTTATTACTAAAGAGTTCTTCAGATACCACAGTGGACTCAATTGTTGACTTCCTGTTCATCATCATCTACTAAAGAAGAAATTGAATATTTGTGCACAAACATGTTATGTATCAGGATAGCGCAGAAATTAGGAATTCATAAAGTAATGCTGTCTATGTCCGCTGATGAATTAGCCTCAACAACTCTTTCATCGCTTGCTTTAGCTAGAGGTTTGTCACTCCTTTTCAAAGTTTTGAAGTCCGAAAATAAATTTAGTGAAGGGAGAAATTGTTTAAGACCTATTCATAGTTATCTAATATAAATTTTAACAGAAAGGAAGTTTTAAATTTCCATGATGTTATCTCTTAGGTCTTGAATTTAAGGTTTTTGGAATGAATTGGTTTTTGAGCTATTAATGGATTTGCAAGTTTTCAGGTCCTTCTGTTTTTCATGCGGTTAACGTAGTTGATAAGCGACACAGTGATGTTACATTAATACGTCCACTTCGGGAAATTAGCGAAAAAGAAATTGCAATTGTCAATCGGTATTTTTTTCATCTCTAGCTTTCTTTCTTTAAATTTTTATGAAATTTGCTTCATTTCTCCAGTTATTGGATCAAATTGAATGGTTTTAAAGACAATAATTATAAATATGCAGCTAACCATATTACGTTATATAAACAGATAACCTGGTACTAGCGGTGTTTAGCATTTTATTTTGATTCGTCTATTCACCATTTTAAAGAAGCACATGGAATCTCAAAAAAAACCAGTTCCTGAAAATATGTTTTCAAAAAATTTGGAAGATTTTAGACAAATTATTCATTGTAAGTGGTATTAGTTTAGATTCGAAGGAAGTGATCGATATATTCTGAATGTACGGAAGAACCATTTAAAAATTGATGACGACCAATCAATACAGTCAATTTCGAGAGATTTTATAAGCGATTTGGTAATCAATGGTTTTACTGGAACCGTAACAACCATATTGAGTATCGCTAACAAAATTCAGGCTCCAGCTACAAATAGAGCACGCTGTGTTCTGTGTGCCTCAGTTTACAATGCAGATGAGGGCGAAAAGTTCGTTCGATTGTATTTTGTAGATGTGTAATTTCCTTGGAATCGTTGGTCCTTTAATGTTTAATTTTTTGGCTGTTTCAAGATCTGCAGACGGAATTTGCTTTCTTTAGAATTTTATGTAGTTATGGAACCATAGTATGAGTTATTTACTTTAAAGATAGCACAATTAAACTTTTTATATATTTAGTATGCGTAGAAATGTATCTTTTACGAACATCGCAGGATCTCCATAGAAGTTGTTCAGTACATACATTCTTTTTTAGGTACTGCTATTCATGTACATCAGTTCTGGATCAAGTCGGCGACAAAATCCTATTGGAGCAGCTCCTTGATTCTATGTGTATGAATGCCCATTAATGCAAATCGTTTGTGGTTTGTTAATATCCATTAGTTAGGTGAATTAATGCTTGTCAGTATTTAAAATTTGATACTGGTAAATAGATATTTCAAGCAAACTGTTCGGTTTAGAAATAATAATTATGAGATTAGTTGAATTGGATAGATACAAAAAATAATTCCATTTTTTCATTTGAAAGAGTAATTTTAAGCTTTGCAATATTTAGAAGTTCAAAAAAAAACTTCACTAAATGTTTTTTCTTTATAGAATTCAGTTCAAGGGAGAGCTTTGTGTGGTATAGTCCAATAATTGGTAAAGGTTTATTATTTAATGGAGAGTTTTATTCTACTTGATACAGTTGTCAGGAATTATTAAGGATAGAACTGATCATTTAGTTGCTTAGTCGAAAAAATATTTTGAAACTGTCGTTGAAGTGGTTCAAAAGAATTTTCGTAGAGTGTAGATGGTTCGTTTCAGTGAAGCTGGTAACACTGGAGCACATTCTTGAAGTTAGATGGCGCTCAATAAACACTATTTTTAGTGAAGTAGACAGTTCGTTATTTTGTAAATGAAACTGATGGTAAAGAAAAGGCCGTTAATTAAATGAAGCTGGTGATAAATAAAATCATCTGGTCATTTGACTGATGAAGTTAACGGTAAAAAAAGTCATTCGGTATTAATCATATACAGTACTCTTTAGAATCGTACATTGGGAAAATAAAACATCATTTCACTAAGAATATTTGAGACAAATAATTTCTATAGCATAGATTTCAAGAATATAAAAATATTCTGATTATTTTTTTCATATTAAAGTTATTAGGGATTTTCGACACTGAATGGATATTCCATATAATTTTACAAGAAATTTTTATTGTATTCCGTTGTCATTCCTTCACTTGTTGTAGTCAAATTTGCCAGAATATCCTAAAAGTGCTGTTTATTGTTTTCTTGGGATTATGTTATGATCAATAAATGCAAATGAACTAGTTTTTGCACCATCTACACATTATGGCTGTTCCTCAATGTCATTACTTTAGAGTTTTTATCGCTTCTGCTTTCTTTTTGGAAGTTCAAATGACTAAAATTTAACTTTTTTAAATTATTCATTGAATCTGTAATAATTCCCTGTAATGATAGACGACATGTAATCGCTATGAAAAATTCTACTGACTTCCGTAAGAATATAGGAATTCAAAATTTCATAATTTGATTTTAATGTTCACAAAATAATTGGGGGGTTTTTTTTTTTGTTCAGGAATATTATTTTGTGCGGTTATTCTTCGATATTTGATATTTGGTAAGCATTCTAAAGGACATCTTAACCAAAACATCGTCTGATAACTAATTGTGGAAGAAGTGCATGAGCAACATTCCATTGCAATTTACAAATGACTCGCTGTATGTTTATAGTATGCACTTCTCCTGTCAATTTTCTGTTCGTTCCTTTCAAAGCTAATTTTATCCCTAAAAAAATCCATTATATGGTGGAATTATTGCTACCATCGGTTAGATCAAAATGGCAAAGTGAAATCGCATAATTTTAACACTATCATCGCCATTGCTGTGTTAAGTAATCAAGCATGCCAATTATCACAATAATTATTAGCATTTATAGATTTTGGATTTGCTGTAGTTATAACTTTATGACAGGAATGATATGTCTTTCATACATTCGATTCATTCACCTTATGGATAATGGAAATTTCCACATTATTTGTCAACGAAACTGCCGTCATCGATCACGTTTCCGAGTACTATTAACTCATTAAAATTTCTTAACAAATCATACCAAGAAAAAACTGTTTGTTCGTAATTAAAGATGTTGTTTAGTTAAAAGCATTTGGTTAAAAACAATTGTTAATATAATGTCTCTAACTTTATTCCTTTTTTTTTTCATTTTTTTGGTTTCTGCAAACTAGAAAGATTTAGTTTTAATTATGCTTGTATTTATTTTGCTAATTCATATCAGTCTAGCTTCATCTGCCAGTTGTCGGGATATTGGGCTGATGCGAAAGTGATTTGTTATACTCAAAATAAGAATCACTACATCAACACGATGAAATGAATCTGATTTTTTAATA